CCTAAAATGGGGATGGAAGCAGGGCTCTGTGGGTTACAGGAGACAGGACACAGAGGCACAGACGCAGAGAGCAGTGCCCGCCCGCGGTTTCTGCCGGCCAGTAAGGGCCGCAGGTGGCTGGCCTGCTGTTACGGTCGTCACCACAGGAATCCAGTGGCGAGGAAGCCCAGTGAGCTGGGATCGTCAGGAAACCCCGGTCGGGAAGTAAACGGGAAGAGGAGCTTGAAGCCAGGGTCCCGTTTGCAGGGCAGCGAGGTGCAGTCAGCTCAGGAAGGTAAGCAAGGACAGAGTGACGTTGGGGGATGTACGCCGAGGTCCCGAGCACCAGGGGGACTGACTGAGCAGAAGGTTGGGGAGCTGAGCTGGAGTTAAAATTCACTAGAAATCCCAGGGACAGTTCAGCTACGATGTTCTGAGAACTAAGACGATATTAAAATCTCCGAGTAAGGAAATAACATCTTACAAGGGGCTGTTTAAGGATTAGTCCAGTGGGATGGAACAGAGCACCGTTCTTCCCACTTCCTGTAGCAAAGGGCTAGTAACTTCCATTCTGACCAGGGCCGCAGCGCACGACAGTAAAATACAACGAAAACAGATTTCTAGAACGTGAACTAAAAAATGACAATGACTCCCAAAACATCCAATGTTCTATGATCCGAGTCAAACATACATAAAATGACTCTGTGCCACTGTCCTAACCCTTTTGGAACTCTCAGTTTCTGCCGCATATCACCACACACCCGTCGGGAATGGGTGGTCCTTGTCCAGCCTTCGGAGAAGCGCCTCTGAGAAGTCGAGGGATGCGTGACAGAGGAGAGCACAGAGGGGTCACAGAGAGCAGCCAGGTGGTGCCAGAAAGGGGGGAGGGGGGTGCGGACACGGGGCCGGGATGGGCGAAGGGAGCCAAAGGTACAAGCCTTCAGTGAGAAGATAAGTCATGGCGATGTAACGTACAGTAGGGCAACTCTAGTTAATAACAGTTAGTGTATCGTATATTGGAAAGGTGCTAAGAGAGTAGATCTTGAAAGTTCTCATCACGAGAATAAAAGTTCCGTAACACTGCATGGTGACGGATGTCGCCTAGACTTACGGGGGTGATCACTTCACAATATGTACAAACACAGAATCATTATGTTGTACAGCGGAAACTAATATCATGTTATATGTCAATTATACCTCCATTTAAAAAAGAGAGACAGGAGAAGGCTGAGAAGGCGCCCAGTGGGGGCTACTGGCACCTTCCACGAAGCTGAAGACAAACATGCAGATGAAGAGCAGCATCAGACACAGGGGATCTTGAAAAGTAAACGGGGGAAGAGACCAGGAACTGAGCTTAATAAGGGACAGCCGAGTCCAAGGCCTTGGTGAGCCCCGATTAATAAAGCAGACACTTTTACACAAATGGAGGGAATGGGGGAAAGTGCGACAAACGGGGTATAACCACATCCTCAGAGGAACCACACTCCAAATAGGGTGCCTCCTGCTCTGTGAGGCTCCCCCACACCCACACGGCGTAGAGGGTTCCCCCACACGTGATAGAGAACACTGCTGAGCGAAAATTATAGATGGACCACATCAGCATTGGTAAGTTACAGTCAATTCTATGGACTGAAAATGAATATTGCTATGACAGAGAAATTGTTAGAAAGAAAACTCATCATAGAAAGAAAGGGGGTGGGGGGGAGTGTTAACACCTTTCTGGCCACAGGGGGTCAGGATCGCTTCAAAGCAAAATCACCCTAAATCCCTTTGGGGGGGATAAAGGTCTTACAGAAATGATTCCATTTTCTTCTTTAAAAAAAAGTGTTAGTTTCAATATATCTGATTTTTAGACTTACTGGGTGGCAGATGGTTACAGCATGATATAAAATATCAACTTGTTGAAAAAAACAAACTTGCAAAAAATATATACTTCATGCAAAAATGCGCTTGGATCCTCGTCATTCAAAAGCAGGAGGAGAAAGTAAGGGAAGGAGAAATGTATTTATATATATAACACATTCATCCATTCTGGGGTGTGTGTGTGTGTGTGTGTGTGTGTGTGTGTGTGTGTGTTTAATTCAACTCGGATCTCAGAGCCAAAGAAAAATAAAAACCATGTCTTTGGTTACTCACTCTACAACTGAGGAGGTCAGACATCCACTCATGAAACCTTTGGGTAAAAATACAAGAATGCACAATAAATGTTCTACTATAGACAACCGGGGAGATCAGTATTGGCAGAGTCACAGGCATCGTCTTCATTCAAAGATTCTGAGACTGGAGGGCAGAGCATGCTCTGGGAGGAAGAACTGAGATCAGTACAAACAGAGCTGAAAAAGTACGACTGAACTGTGGAGAAAAATCCTACTGCGATGCTTTGGGGGGGCCAGTCTTTGGCTATGCTGTGGAATTCTGATTCAGCCATGCTGCTCAAGTTATACTCTGATGTGACATTTAAGTGCAGGCCGAGAGCTGTGCTCGGTATTTCAGATCATGGGACCCCCAAGGCCAGTGTGGAGGTACAGAGTGAGTGAGAAGGAAAGAAACTCCTGAGGCTGGAGACATGTGAATGTAGCCCCAAGTGCCATGGGAACCGAGTGAACGAGGAGACTCGATCCAATTTCCATTTAATGGGCGGAAAAAAGAACATTCTGGTTACGGTGTAAACGAATGGGGTGGGATTCAGCAAGAGTAGAAGTGGGAAGACCCCACTGTGTTTAGGGAGTTTGTATAGGAGCCCAGGAAGATGATGTCTGAGATGCAGAGAAGTATTCAAGGCACCTGGAGGGAGAATGAGCAGGTCTGAACTGGTGGATCAAATTAGGGGAGGCGGGGGGGGCAGGGAGGCTGTGTGCATGCGTGTGTTCATGTGTGTGTGTGTGTGTGTGTGCATGTGTGCGTGTGTGTGCAGACACACCCCTACTGCCAAAACAATTTCACAGTTTTGAAAAAGAAATACTAACCTTTCCTCTTAAAAGTACTATTATTAAATTTTCACTGATTATACAAAGAAGTATCAGATAATATGTCATTGACTGTGTTGGTTTATAGATATAAAATAATAGGCAATTGAGTGCCATCACTTTAATGATAATAGAAGCCAACCTATATTCAGCCAAATGCTTTTAAAATGTAATAAAGAAAAGATTGAATGATAATCATTCTCTTGCAATTCTGATTATATATCCATTGTTCAAAGTCTCTGCTGATTTTTCTCTTAGAAATATTCATGGGAAATGGATAAAATGAATCTAAAAATATTCACCCCAAAATCCATAAATTATAGTCAAATTTCATTTCCATTCTATGGGAGCATTTTCAACCACGTGCAAGCACTATGATATGAGTACCAACCTCAGCCAGGCAACTAATGGAAAATGACAGGCCTGTCGATACTTCTAAATCTTACTAAAAGCACAAGGACCAACATCGCTAAGTGGGCAAAGCCGCTATCCTAAATTAGTTCTGGACCTCTAATGAAAATGGAGGTTACCTGGGCAAGCTGGTTTCCATCTGGCAGAACCGGATTATCAGCTGTCGTGGGTAGAATCTTAAGTGAATAGATTTCAAAAGGTGTTTAGGTGTCAGGAGACGACAGGAAACTATAGCTGTGGGATTTGGGAAGTATTTTTAAAGTATAGAACATAATGATAAAAAGGCACTTAACTATAATGGCTATAATTTCCCATAAAAGAGTTTAGCACAGACAGACAACTGGGCAATCTCTACAAAAATGCCTGAAGCACATTCAGAACCACACCAGCTTGAAGCTTGGCACACGTGATATTTACCTGGATCTGTTCCAGTAAGATTCTCCCTCTGCCTGAACCTTGCCGAAAGCTGTACCTTATCCCCATCGCTGCCTCTGTTCCAAGAAACAGCCCACGGACCCTACACTCCTCTCATTCAGTACCGTTGTAGGAACAAATCAGGATAATGGTTGTAAAGGGTTTTGAAAACACAAGAAGTATAATACAAATGCAAAACAATGTTTTAATTATTATTTTATTAGTCATCTGTTACGTTTTATTGTATGGTTTGTAACACATTGTTGATTGTTAGTCCTCAACAACAATAACAAAACGAGTGCTAAAACTGCCTTTAAAGACTTTTTTTTAACTCTAGCTATCGCTGTTTCATCCCAAATCCTGAAATCTGACTGTTTAAGGATGGGGTCCAGGCATATCGTGTTACAGCTCTCTAGGTGATTCCGCCTTCAGAATCTCTGCACTGCTCTGACGAATATTAGGTAATGGTGGTTGAATAAATATAACTCATTTTAATGCACTTTTTTAAATTGAGAGTTTTAAAAACATAGCAGTCCTTGTAAATTAGCAAGGTAAGAAATGCGAATAATCTGCCAGTTAATGAATCCTTTTATGTGGATTTTTTTTAAGCAGTAGTATATAATTTCTCTGCTTCTCCTGTCACTCCTTATTGCAGGATCTCTGTCCCCCTTAAAACTGGAGGTGTCCAGGAGGCATCTCACAGGTCATCAGAACCCATCCCCAAACTGCCAGCATGGCAGCTTCCTCATCTCTGCCCCGCAGTGAACCTCGGAGCTGGGATCTTAACCGAGGCCACCTCCAAAGTCTGTGCTCCAAGACACAGAAACAGGGAGAGAGGAAGAGAAAGGGAATGAGAGAACGCCGAGCACTGGAGGGAGGAAGTCTTTCCAGACCTCAAGGACAAACGCGTATTGGAATACAGACTGAAGAATGGACAGGATTTCTAGAGGAAAGATGAAAAAACAGTCCAGGCAAATTTCAAGCCCGTTGAAATAGCTGACTGCGCTGTCCTACGCTTTGACTCAGCAAAACGACCAAATTAGATTCCCATGACACATAGAGGAAACATAGTTTCTTAACCGTTTGCACGGCTCAAGGGGCCCTGCAGACAGCACTCAGAGAGCTGGGACAGATAACTCATGCCATTAGGCAGGAAACAGCTTCTCCCTGGAATCTGTGGTGACTCTTCATCATGGCGCTCTATTTTATTTCTTTCCTGATGATGAATATTCATGCATTTAAGACACACAGTATCAGATAGTACTGGGAGCGCTTTTTAAACATCAAATATCTCTTCAGGGTGCCCGTCTGTGGAATGTGGACAGAAGCAAAGGGTCAGGCCAGCAGGAAGCGATCTGGCTGGGTTTGCATTTATGTGTCTGACACAGAGAGATGCTGTTGGGTTACTTTTGCACGTTCTAAGAAAATAATACACAACAGCTTCATCAGCAGGACGTTACATCCTGGACCAAAATCTTATTGATGACACTATCATTCTATCATTGACTTCAGAGAAAGTGAACCTTGAATTAAATTTGGTTTGTACTTATATGACTATAATAGACTAGTTGAATAATTTTCTATCATTAATATTGAAATTATGTTATAGGCCCAGAAGCATTTCTTTTGAAAAATGCTTATTTTGAAGTTTGAAAAGTTATATGGGCCACAAGCTTTTTAAAAAAAAAATTATTATTTTTTTTCTTTTTTAAGATCCAAACTCAGTTTAAAATATAAATGAGAAGATTTGGGCACCGGTAGGCTGTCCTGGGCTTAACCACTTCTCCTCTTTTCACAGGTCACATGAGGGAAGACAGTCCCCAGTGTGACATTCATTCCCAGTCTTACTTTAGCCATGAAACGTCCTGGTTCCCCTTTCACAGGGCCACGAAGGACTCACTTCCCCACCTCCAAGTTCCTAAGTTCTGTCTATTTTTTTTTTATAATGTGCTCATTTAATTTGATAAAACCATGAATGTATGACAAGTGATTATTAAAAAAGTCATGAGTTGTCTTATACAGATAGCTTGAGATTGCCAGCTCTGTAGGAGCCAAAACCCATTTTGCTAGAAGCCCTCTTTGCATGTGTTTGCTATTGGTGTCTTCTTACGTGTGTAACCATCACAGTTCAAAGAGGGGAAAAATAAAAAGATCCCTCCCCGCAGTCACCATTGCTAAAGGTATTAATTCACGTTCTCACTTACGTGGGAAACAAGAATGCTTATCAAGGAAAACTCACAGCACTTCTTCCCTTCAACCTTGTATCTGGGCCTAACCAAAGACATTAAAATGAGAAAAAGAAAGAAATGGTATAAAAAGTGTAAAGTGAGAGGTAATATTTCCACAAAATTCCTAATTTGTAGAAAATGTATCACCATTCAAAATGCAAGCAAAACTTCTAAAGAGTTCAGCAATACCTTTAGGATAAAGCAATACCTTTAATGATAAACACCATTAAAAAACACAAAAAAAGTTTTGAATAGTAGGGACATACTTCTTGTTCTTAGATGGAAAGACTCATCAATATATCAGAATTTAACTTAAAAAATAAAACTCCAATTTAAAAAAATCAACAGGGTTTTCTCTTATAATTGGACACATATATTCTAAAGTTCATAAAGAAGAACAAAGAGCCAAGAATAGCAAAAACGTTTCTGAAGAAGGGAAGCTGACATGAGAGTGAGGACCTGCCTATCAGATAATCAATATCACAAAACCAGGGCCAGTTAGAGGCGTGGGTTCTGTTACAAGCTTAGGAAAGCAGACCAGTGCTTCATGAGCCCAGATACACACAGGTCTTGTCAATAAATATGAAACAACTGATCATCCATGTGGAAAATATTATATTCCTCAATCTCATCAATATACAGCAATAATTCAAAGTCTATTAAACACCTAGTCATGAAAAGCAAATCCATGAAAACATTTCAAAGAAATATAAACGCAAGATTTTATGACTTTATGTTAGGAAAGGATTTCCTGAAAAAGACTCATTTAAAATAACAAATTGTGAAGAAAAAGATAGGTATATTTGACTCCATGAATTTTGTTTAAGTTTCATTAAACAAATGACACCATAAGTAAAGTTAAAAGATAAGACACAAAGTGCCAGCCGAGTGGCTCAGTTGGTTAAGAGCTCGCTCAAGAGTTTGAGCTCTGAGCAACAGCGGTTCAAGTCCTGGCCTGAGCTGAGCTGCTGCTGAGCTGCCAACAGGTGGCAGGATGGCTCAGCTAAAAAAAACAAACAAACAAACAAAAAAACACATAAGACACAAACTGATAAACAACATATGCAATACTTAATACAAAGAAAATGTAAGCATTCAGAATCCACAGAAAGTGATAAATTAAGAAAAAGATAAGCGATTTAATAGAAAGAGAGACCAAGGATATGAACACAGTTCACAGAAGAAACAACGATGGTCAATAAACATTTCACAAAATGCTCAATCTCACTAGTAATCTAAAAAATAACAAGTAAACCAAAAAGTGAAATTAAACCAAATAATGAAATTAAACAATTTCACAACCATCAGATAAAGCAAAAATTTACACTCTAATAATGAGTTGATGCAGACATGGACAAACTTGACTTCGTTTATAACTGGTGGGAAGGGAAATTCTTACAAACACTCTAGAGAACAATGGGGCAAGGTCTAGAAGACTTAAAGGTGTGTCTACCCAAGATTTGGCAACCCCACTTCTAGGTATAGACCCCTGAGAAATTCTTCCTTATGTGAACTGGAAGACACGCACAGGAATATTCATAGCTCCGTCGTTTAGAACAATGACAAAGTAGAACCATCCTATAAGCCCTTCAACAATCCAATGAATAAATGTATTTTCTAATTAGCACAGGGGCAATTACTATGTTTCCGGGGTACTCTACTGAAAGGGCTTTACAAATATGAACTCATTTAATTCTCAAAACAACCCCATGAGGTAGGCAGTTTTTTCTTGTTTTGTGGTCACTCCATTCTTTATAGTGACTATTTTTCCCATTTTATAGATGAGGATATTGAGACACAAAGATATAAACCCAAGACCACACAGCTAGGTGTAATAAAGTCACACAAAGGAACTCTACAGAGCAAAGAAAATGAATGAAATAAAAATGTATACACAGCATTATGGATAAATATCAAACAGTGAGAAAAAGTAGGCTGTAGAATCTTTTCTACAGTAAGCTACCCTCACATGAGTTGGAAAGATGAAAAACAGCACTGCATTAGCTTCCTAGGGCTGCCATAACAAATTAGCACAAACTGGGTGGCTTATGACAACAAAAATGTGTTCTCTCACAGTTCCGGAGGCTGGAAGTCTGTAATCAAGGTGTCACGGGGCTGCAGGTCCTCCAAAGGCTCTAGAGGAGGAGCTTTCCTGGCTTCCTCCAGCTCCTGGTGGCCCCGGAATTCCTTGGATTGTAGCTGCATCTCTCCAGTCTTTGCCTCCATCTGCACACGGCCTTCTCGTCTCTCTCCTAAAAAAGCCACTTGCCGTTGGGTCTGGGGCCTGTTAGATAAATCCAGAATCATCTCTCCTTGAGATCTTCAACTTAATTACATCCACAGAGAACCCTTTTCCCAAATAAGGCTACATTCACAGGTTCTGGGGGTTAGGATGGGGACATATCTTTTGGGCAGCCACCATTCATCCCTCTTCAAATATGATCAGTAATTTATAGATACATACCTAAGGGACAAAGTAATTTTTTCTTAAAAGAAATCACTCATGGAAATGATAAACACCACACCCTTCTCTGGGAATGGAGAGAGGCAGGATGGGGATAGGAGACAAGGGCTATCCATAACGAGTCCTCATCTTCGTCCACCTGAAGGAGATACTGGCAAGGGTTGAGCTTTGCTAGGGATAAGTGGTACGTGTATACGTGTTGGTTGTGTTTTTCTCTGGAATTTTCTATAATTATGAAATATTTCATAATTTCTTTAAAATCGAACACCACCAAGATGTTCCCCCCCCCCCATGGCTCTATCACAGTATTTGGAGGAGTTACTTTTCACAGGTGCTCACCAGCCTTGTCCCCAAGCTGTTGTTAAATCTCTCTCGTCTAACGCATTACCGCTCTCAGCCCTCTGCACACCCACGGAGCCAGCTCTTGCTCGCTTACCTGACACGCCTTTCACAGTTCACAGCCTTTCCTCCCTACCATTTTCCTCACTGTAGATGCTTTTCTTCTCATTAGCAGTGTTCCTGCTCCAATAATGATGATATGCCCTCCAAATATCAAAGACGAATCAGACACTGAAATACACAAGCAAAACCAGCCAACAATCAAGGCCACCTCGTGATGTTTTCATGCTTCTACCAAATGCCTTATCTCACAAGTCTTTCAAAATCGCATTTGATCTTCTAAGAGACCAGTGCTCAGGCCCTTTGAGAGTGGGCGCCTGTCTGAAAGAACCTGGGGCATCACCACATTGATGGGCTGAGATTTGCTTCCCTTGGGGACACCTGACAATCGCAGCATCGTTAGCGCAAGCTCCTCTAGAGCACTGCTTTCTGTGTTTCTCAGATCCCCTTTCTACGGTATCCCCTCAGCCAAAAACGAAGGGGAACATGATTTTCCTGGCCACTGCCACCTCCAAAATGGAGTCACTGTTCTTCCTACACCCAGCCATTTAAAATCAAGACCATTCCCTAAGATGTGATTGTGACATTTCAAAAATTGCAATGGCTAAAGGAAAGCTTGGGTGGTTTCTCTGTATTTCTGCTTACAAGTAATATATATTCTCTCTCTGCCTCCCTCCCACCCACAATTCATGAGTAATGTCCTACTTTAGGTTGTGGGGAGGGCAGGGAATTGTAGGATTATTTATATGGTTCAATTACAAAAGTAACATAATCATTAAAAATAAAAAATAAAATAACTGTGATTAACAGTGTAGCCTTTAGAATTGGGAGACTTTAATTTGCTCCTCCAGTGATCATCTGTGTGACATTGAGCCAGGAACTCCGATCAGCCTCAGTTTACAACACCGGGATAATAATAGCACCTATCATGAATTTGATAGCGGCATTAAAAAATAATCAGTAAGCATTTAATGTATCTTAGCTGCTATTAATAATTAATATTAGCTGATATTAATATTATTAATGCCCTCTAAGTCAACCACTAGTATTCTTCTTGTGCACATTTGTTGTCTTTACTGGGATCCCAGAGAATACAGTGATGCCCTGTGGTCTGCACCACGTGAAAATTATATCGACAGGTGTGGCCAAAACTAAGAGAATCTTCTGATGCTTCTTTTTTATAGTTATTTTAAAAAGTATAATCACTGTTGTCAATGCCCTTTTCATTGCATCACCACGTTTGGACTATCCTGACTCCCTCCTTCAGGCATAAAGACCCTGTGGTGACCCAGGGCCAACACAGATAATCCAAGAAAATCTTCGCACCTCATGGTCAACTCATTAGCAAGCTTAGTTCCACCTGCAACCTCAATTCCCCCTTTCCATGCAACAGAACATATGCACAGGCTCCAGGGACAGGTGTGAACACCTTTGGGGGAGCGGGCATTATTCTGCCTACCACAAATAGACTCTGGAGTATCCTTCTAGCCCTGAAATATTTTTTCTGTCTGTGCTTTCCTTTTTAATTGCTACAGTGCATTTCATTGTATGGCTATAACATAAGTCACTGAACCAATTTCCTACCATGAAGATATTTACATTGCTGTAATTTTCAGTTCCTTAGCAGTAAAATGTATTTTTTTTTAGTTGATCTTTCTGAGAGGGCAACGAATGAGTTTTGTATCAGTTTACACTTCCTCCACACAGGGGTGGGCTGACGTTTCCTGATGCCCTCACAGACAGAAACCATTCTCTTTCCTTTTTAATCTCTGCCAAGTGGAAAATTACTTTCCATTTGCATTTGCCTTTCGTTGGTTTCCATCGAGGTTGAACGTCATTTCATACCTATGCTGGCCACTCAGTGGTCTTCATGTGTGCAAGAAATGTCTATGATTAGTGGCCTTTCTTGCCAAGTATGCAGCAACATTAACAATGAGATTTTGTGGAAGGTACCTTCACTCTTAATGAACCCCCTGGACTCGACTCCCCTTCCATCTCATGGTCACGACATCATTGAAGCCCACCCCGCTCCTACACTGCGGCATCCTGAGAGGGCTCTACCCGCACCGCCTGGGTGTGACACATTTTCTGTGCCCACTGTCACTTGGATGGTGAGATCATTTGATACAAGTGGTGAGATTGTTGTAGCAGTTCCCAGTCTCCAGTCTAGTTGATTCTGAGTGCCAAACCCTCTCGAGGTGATCCTTCCTCTTGCATCCTGGGTCCTTTGCATCCTTACATCTCCCACTCGTGTGTCGCTGCTGCGTGACCCTCCTTGACAGAATGGACTGTCAGAACTGTATGTCCAAACTGATAGAGAAATCCTGTGGCCTGATGTCTGGATCTACCAGAACTTTCATCTAGCATGTTATACCCAACCCTTGTTTCAGAAGCTGTTCTATTTATATTAGTCGTTATTACTTAACATCCTTTGTTTATTGTTCTTCCGGATAAAAACCCAATTCCTATGCAGTGCGCTGTACAGACCAGTAAGAAAACAAGGAGAGGCTCTCCAGGTGCTCAGGCATGGTTAACATAGGCACGCTTGTTTCTAGATTATATACGCTCTCATCTCTTTCTCCCCATATTCATTCATCTAAAGGGGGTGGGGGGCCAAAAACGCAGAACAAACAACAAAAACAAACAAACAAAAAACAGCGCGTCTTCTCATTTAGAATGCACCCCAGTGCTAAAACAAATAAAATAATATTGTGCAAATTTCCAGGAGAATTTGAACAAATATCATAAGACTCCGAAATGCTTCCATCCAACTAGAGGCAAGCATGTGGGAGACGTCACGGGAGGCAGGAAGTCAGGCTGCAGCCAGGCTCGGGGATCGCGAAGAGTCTGGGTCTCCAGCCCTCTGCCTCGTCACGGTGCATTCGTCCCAGCCTGGGGATGAGCCCTGTTTCTCTCATGTTAGAGGTTGTGTTTCAGAGGCCGCCCCACCTTTTGACCCTTCATTCTTGTGGGTCAATTTCAAAAGCTGAACTCAGCCCAGCACACCCCAATTCTGTTTGTGGATGATATCCTATCAATATCTGAATGTCGCCACCACTGATTTTCATAATTTCCCTGAAAGAACATGTTTTGACAGGCTGGATGTGGGTTCTAACCAGGGACCCCGTGTGCGTGACAGCTGCATGCTCAGTGGTTGGGGGTGGCCGCGGGTGTCAGGTGGCCTGGGGCAACCTGGCTCGGCACATGGTAGCAGGATCACCACCCCACCCCACCCCCACTCGCACTTCCTTATCTTAAAATGAGAGAATGATGAGGAGTTCCTCGCATAGTGCTTTCAGAAGTAAATAACACACGTGTAGTGCTTGGAGGAGTGAGCAGTAAATATTAGTTTAGCCACAGACGTCTGTCTGCACATACACAGGCATAGTAGATAAAGCCTAATGAGTATTTGATCTGTCAGTTAAAAAAAAAAGAAAAGCAATAAAATCAGTTTACAATTTAGGAACCAAGCGGCATCAGGCATGAGAGCTTCACTTTGCCTTTCAGACGTCACCCACACGCTTGTGGTACCACCCAAGATAAAGCTTCTGAAGATGGCAAAGGTCTCCTCCGTCTACCTCACTCTGGCCCAAAGCACATATGTGAAGCCTCCAAACTGTAATTCGGGACCTGGTCAAGCCTGTGAACTTAACCCTGTTTGTATGAGCATTGCTGTGAGTAAATTATTAGATGATTGAACACATTGACTGTTCAGATTAGAATTAAAGAGTAGCTTTTTAAAAAAATTCAATCTCATGAATATTCCTCACGGCACCTTCCAGCAACCTTTTTCTCAACAACATTTCCTCAATACTCAATCCTTATTCATAGTCCTACCTACTAGATCGAGGTGATCATTCACCTGAGTAACATCCTTTAAATTAAAAAGCAGGAGTCTATGTTTTCATTCTCTCAGTGTAATCACTCGGCTGTAATGGTACCGGAATCCACAAAATACATACTCACCAGAGGAGAAGGATTCCTCTTATAACGTGGACGCCATCCCTAATACGTGGTCCACACCTGAATCCTGATACAAGTCAGAAACGTCCTTCTGTTATGGGCACTTCACCTGGGCAACCCATTCTGAATTCTTGGGTCCTAAGAAACTTCTTACACTATCTGTTCCTTTAGAAGAACCTAGAAAACCTCACTTATGGAACCATGCTTTGCTGAGCACCTGCTCCGTCCTGAGCTCTCCTCTGGGATGTACGATGCACTTGGAGAAAGACCTAGGTCAGCCCTCTGAGGATGTCACAGTCTCACAGGTGAGGTGGGAAGGTGAGGTGGGAAACAGGACACAGGTAAAGGACGAGGCCGGCTATGCTGGCTCATGTGCACTGTGCATGGTCAGCTTCTCTGAGACGGGAGCTCTTCACTGAGACTTCACGACATAAGACATCATTCTTCCTGTGGATGGG